AGTTTGTGAGACATGACCTTCTCATACAAAGCTATGCTGCTCAAGTCCAAATTTTTCCAAATAGGAGTAAATCCAATCCCTAAGAATCTTCTCCAATAATTTCCCCACCACTGATGTTTCCACATTATCCCTATTACCCTTCTTAAACAAAAGAACAATGTTGTCTATTCTCCAGTCCTCTGGGACCTCTCTTGGACTAAAAAGAGGATACAAAGATTTTGTACAAGGCCCCAGCAATTTCTCCACCTGACTCCCTCAACATTCTGGGATAGATCCCATCAAATCCTGGGGACTTGCACATCTTAATGCTTTTCAAAATACCCATCATCACCTTTTTTTTTTTTTTTTTTAAAATACTGACAAGCCCTAGAATATAAACATATCCATCCCGAAACTCACCATCCACCATGTCCTCCTCCTTTGTAGATACCAATGCTAAATTTTCCTCTGGCTCCATGCATAAATTCCCTCCTTTGTCCTTGAATGGACCTACCCTTTCCCTAGCTCCCTCTTGCTCTTTATATATGTATAAAATACCTTGGAATTTACCTTAATTCTGTTTGCCAAAGACATTTTGTGATCCCTGTTAGACCTCTTAATTCCGTGTTTGAGTTCTTTACTGCTATCTTTCTATTCTTCAAGGGCTCTGTCTGTCTTCAGTTTCCTAAACCCAATGTGTGCCTCGTTTTTGTTTTTGATTAAGTTCTCAACTTTTGTCATCCAAGGTTTTTGAATCTCACCATCCTTAACAATGATAGACAACTACTTTTTAATGAGTGTTGGTCATCAAATTCAAACAAACACCATAAATCTGAGAAATCAGAGTTAACATTCTGGGTCCAGTGACTTTTCTCACAACTGATGGTAGGTAGGAAAAACTTGGTTTTTATGTAGAAGGCGGAGTGGGTGGAGGGGATAAGGAGTAAATGATAAGTGGAGATAGAGCCCAAAGAACAAGAACAGATGGACAAAGGAGTCAATAACAGTCAGTTTAGGAGAATGAATGGCTGCTAACAGGGACTGTTAGTGGCTAACAATGGGTAATGTGTAATAGTAGATTATATGATAACAAGGCTTGGAATGTGGGGGTTGGGGTAAGGACATGGGAGAAGGTGCCTCAAGCCCTAAAATTGGTGAACTTGATATCAAGTCCAGAAGGTTAGAGTTCCCAACTGGAAAATGAGGTACTGTTTTTACAGCTTGCACGGACTTTCGCTGCAGCATTGCAGCAAGCCTGAGACAGAGATGTTGACCAGGGAACCAGGTGGTGTGTTGTTGAGCCTCGCAACAATTATTGAACTCAATATCAACAAAATAAACATGCTCACTCCTGAAATGGGAAAAAAATGCGAACTATAATAAAGTTTCTACCAAAAATATGTAATTATGATAACAGTGTAAGATTGGGAGGCAGTCCTGGACAGTGATTTCATTCCACCTGAAAATGGGAAGGTTCTGAAAAGATAGCTCCAGAAAAGTTTCAATGGACAAAGATTAATTTTGCTGGCTGAATAACAATTTTACATACATTGAGACACCAAATTTAATGGCATAAAGTGGCCTCTCTATCATAGTTAGCCAGATGAAGAACATCTCCAAATAAATAGGGACTCTGTCCTCATCATCAAGGGGCGCTAGCAAAATTGCAATCAATTGGAATCAAAGGGAAACTTTTCACAGGTTGAAATTATACTTAACACAAAAGGAAGATGGTTGTGGTTATTGGAAATCAGTCATCTTAGCCCAGGACAATACTGCAGGAATTCCTCAGTAGTGTTCTAGGTCCAGTCATCTTCAGCTGCTACATCAATGGCTTTCCTTCCATTCTAGGGCCAGAAATGGGGATGTTCACTGGTAATTGCACAATGTTCAACATCATTCACAACTCCTTGGATACTGAAATAGTCTATGTTCGCATATAGCAAGACTTGACAACTTTCACAGTTGGGCTAAGTAGCCAGTAACATTCACACCATGCAAGTGCCAGATGGCTCTCCAACAAGAGAGAATTAATACTTTGCCTCTTGATGTACAATGGCAGTTCTGTCATTCAGTCCCCCACATTCAACATCCTTAGGGCTATTAGTGACCACAAACTCAACTTTAAGTCATACAAATATTGTGGCTACAAGAACAGGTCAAATGCTAGGATTCTGCAGGGAGTAATTTGCCACCTGCTTCCCCCCTCCAAAGCTTTCCTACCAATTACATGGAAGAATCAGGAGTAGATGGAATACTCCCCACTTGCTGGATGAGTGCAGCTCCAAAAAGCTTGCCATCAAAGATGAAGCAGCTAGTTTGATTAATACCCCATTCACAACCTACAACGTTTACAGCTTCCAAGACCAGTTCAGGCCAGCAGCTGTGTGTATCATCTTGGTAGCATCAAGGCGTTTGAGAAAGTACCACAAGTTAGGTTCCTCATAAGTTATGAGCCCATGGTGTTGGAAACAGTATATTAGCATGGATAGAAAATTGTCTTCTATAAGTCAGCCATAGTATTGGAAAAAGCAGGGCTCTTTCAGGATGGCAACCTGTAACCAGTGATGTACCACAATGCTCAGTGGTGGGGCCACAATTATTTGGAATATATATTAATTTGGATGGGGAAGGTGAAATGTACTATTGCCATGTTTGCAGATCACACTAAAATAGGTGGAGGTGAAGGCAAGTGGTCATGATGACAGTCTGCATAACGATTTAGTCAAGTTAAGCAAATGGACAAAAACTTGGCAGATGGAGTGTTATGTGGGGAAATGCACTTTGGCAGCAAGAATAGAGGAGCTGAATATTACTTAATGAGAGAAAGAATACTGAAAGCTGTGGAACCAAGGGATTTGGGGATCCTTGTTGTGAATCACAAAAAGCTAGTATCCAAGGTCAATGGGTAATAGGGGAGGTAAATGGAGTATAAAAGTGGGGAGGTTTTACTAAAACTACAAGATACAAGATACAAGTCAGACCACAGCTGCAATACAGTAAATAGTTTTGGGCCCCTTATCTAAAGGGAAATATTCTGGCATTGCAGGCAGTCCAAAGAGGACTAATACCAGGTATGGGAAGGACTGCCTTATGAGAAGAGGTTGGGACTGTACTTTTTGGAATATAGAAAGATGAATTATTGAAACATACAAATGATTCTTATAGGACTTGATGGGTAGACACAAAGGTTTTTTTCTTCATATGGCAGAATCTTGAACCAGAGGGCATAATCTCAGAAGAAGGTGTCACACATTTAAAACAGATATAAAAGGAAGAATTTCTTTTCAAAGGCTTGTGAATCTGTGGAATTCTTTATCATAAAAGGGCTGTAGAGAGACAGTCATTAGTTATATTTGAGACTGAGATAGACAGACTTTTAATTAGCAAGGGAATCGAGGGGGAAAAGGCAGGAAAATGGAATTGAGGATTATCAGCTCAGCCACGATCTCATTGAATGGTGGAGCAGACTCGATGGGCTGAATGGCCTACCTCTGCTGTCTTATGGTTTTACCTCCAAGCTGCACTGCAGCAATTTACCCAAGTTCCTCTGACAACCACACCCTCTACCACCTAGAAGGACACATTGTGATGATACTATGGCTTTAAGAGGTATTTTGTCATGGGTTTCTTTTGAAGAAGAAAGGACACAGGTGCAGAGCAGTCTGCTCAAATCTAATAGAGTAAACAACTTGTAAGGCCTTGGGATTTTTAAAAAGTTGTAAAAATAGATGCAGCCTGAATGGGTGAGGTCAAGGTCCCACATAACAAGGGTTTCTCGTTTTAGCTTTCTGCAGTTGCTGGGGTCTTGAAGCTGGATGTGGACGCTCTTATCCCTCTCTTAGTTATAGCTAAAAGCTGGGGTTCTCTTCCTGCTGTTGGAATTGCATGTGAGACAATCTATTTTACTGAATTTGCCTTTGCCAAGGGTGTGTTTATGGGATGTTACTATATTGGAACAGTTAATTAGTAGTAGTTAATACTTGTATTATTTTGTTAAGCATTTCAATAGTTAAGCCAATTCTTTTCATTTTGACTGTATTTTAACTGTAGGGTAAAAATACAGTGTGTTTTGCTTAACGTCAGGTAGTTTGACCAATTGAATTACATCTGGAATGCAACACCTTACACTGATCTTTAAAATAAGAAAAATTTAAAGTCTAGACTATCTGCTTAATATATTTTGAGGGGGTTTGGTCTGCTCCTTACAAGATGCAGCAGACATCTAGGAACACTTCCTGAAAGTCTCCATGCCACACCATTCCAATTTGGAACTATATCCCCATTCCTTCACTGTCAACAGATCAAAATCCTGAACCTGCCTTCCCAACATCACTGTATGCTGCTGTAGGATAAATTCTAGCACCATCCACTTACTGTTCATTTATCCTGAATCTGTTGTTTAAAACTTAGCTTGATCTCAAGACTATAACAAGATACTTTCAAAGGTATGGAAAATTGGGACTTTCCTACAAGAGAGTGTAATCTTACATACAAGAAGTTAAATACATTCTGCCCCACCCAAAACTCCAGGAGACTTCAGTCAGTCATCATTCCTTCCACACCCCACCCAGTCCACCAATGTATTACATTTAAAATCCTTGACTAAAGTTTTAAATCTAACCACAGTCTAGTTCAATTCTACTTCAAGTTTTTCCAGTATGATATTCCTTTGTTTCTCCTATCATCATTTACCCATCACCAGTCTTAACACTTTCAATACCCTTGGCCTTATTATCTAGAAATGCCTTCAGCAGCTTTGTGTCTCCATTTTTAAAAAGCCTTCTCAAAATTAATCTATTCAACTTGTCTTTCAGTAATTCCTCTGAATATCTCCTTCTATATCAAGTTTATTTTCTCCCCTCCCCCTCTGTAAATGGCTGTCTGACATCTAGGTTCAAGATACTATATTGATGCAAGTTGTTGCTACAGTAGACACATGGTTGAGTTGGCTTGAACAGCGATTTTTCACCCAAACCTATTTCAAAATATCTAAAGCTTCAACAATGGGCTATACTTACTGCCTCACACAACACCTCAAGGTGAAGTATCTCCAGCTTCTTATACATCTCCTGGTATCTCATACGAAACCAGCCATCAAAGTTAGGAGATTTAAAAAAACGTCTGTCAATTTAAAAAACAAATTCTGCTCAGACCAGTAACCTAATACAATAATACCTCAAAATTAAAAACATTTGAGAAAGCTCATAATATAGTAGAGGACCAAGCCAAATATAGACTTTACAGAGAAGAACTGAGAAAGGAAATAAAAAGGAAATGACTATTTGATAGTAGTTAGAAAGCCACATAAAAAGGAACTGAAAAGGTCTTTGACAACATGTACAGGGTAGTCCAAGAAATTGTAGGGCCAAATAAGGAGCCAATAGGAAAAGAAAGATTAGTGATATGGGGAAAGAACTGGGCAGTAGGACTAACAAAAAGATTGCTGCAGATTCAGTGAACCAAAAAGATGATCTTCCTGTGGAGGGTATGGCTGTTGGAGATAATAGTGAGTACTATGCATAAGACATTGTGCAAGAGGATGGTTTCCAAATCTAGTAGAGAAATTGGATATAATAGGTTCAAATTAAAAGGAGGAACTTGAAAATGTTGGCAGCATTTAAAATACAAAATTTCACCCAGTCCTGATGTAATAAATCCTAGGTTTCTAGAATCATAGAGCTGTACAACATGGGAACAGACCCTTCGGTCCAATTTATCCATGCCGACCAGATATGCTAAATTAATCTCGTCTCATTTGCCAGCATATCCCTCTAAACTTTTCCTATTCATGTACCCATCCAGATGCTTTTTAAATGCTGTAATTGTACCAGCCTCCACCACTTCCTCTGGCAGCTCATTCCATACACGCACCACCCTCCACATGAGAATGTTGCCCCTTAGGTCCTTTGTAAAACCTTCCCCTCTCACCTTAAACCTATGCCCTCTAGTTTTCAACTCCCCCACCCTGGGGAAAAGACTTTGCTATTGACCCTATCCATGCCCATAATGATTTTATAAACCTTTATAAAGGTCACCCCTCAGCCACCAATGGTCCAGGGAAATTCAGGGAATTGAGGGTGGAAATTGTGAAGAATCTGGCTATTATCTTCTAATCCTAATTACATTTGAAACCAGTGCCTGAGAATTAGAGAGTGCAAATACCACAGCTCCCATATAAAAGGAGAGGAGAATAAATCTGTCTAAAGTAGAATCAGTTTAATTTTTCTGATGGGTAAACCTTTCCAGACAGTGGATAAGACTTTGGTAACTCTCAGGTGACAAGTTGGAGGTGGGGTGGAGGGGGCTGGTTAAAAGTATTGAAGCCATGACAGGCAGGCTTCTCAACATGGGTTTGCCACAGGGTCATTTTCCAGCAGTGGCAATGACAACAGCTCAGCCACCACCAACCTGGCTGGTCGCCAATGTAAATAATTAAAAAAAGGATACCTTACAGTCCTTTTCTCAGGTTCCCTGCATTTTGCCAGTGGTTGAGCAGCACCTTCCCCATGGAGAGAGTGCAAGATACACTTCTCACTATGGGGGTGATTGGTGGAATCATTGCAACCGGAGCCACCAGAGTCTCAGGAGGGAGCCCTGGCTGCAATGGTCATTCTCGTGGCTCTAGCACATGAGCATGTCTGTGGCACTGCCAAGACTACAAAGCTGCCAGTTCTTTGACCAAGTTAAATTGTGGAAAACCAAAGCCAGCCTCCCCAACCCCCTCATCACTGGATGACAGGGTCGATGGTTACTCAACCGGCCACTGTCAGGAACGTTAGCAAGATTCTAGCTGCGGACCCTCTGGATGCCATACAGGTTTAGGACCTGCATCTGGATGCCAACGTCATTCTTCAAGTCACACCAGGGAAGCTCCCAGATTATATAAAGCAACATTAATTGTCACTTGTTAAAATACAACTTTGTAAATTACAGCCAGCACAGATTTAAATGAAGACAAATAATGTTTGACTAACTTAGTGAGATTTTTGGCGAGGGAGGGGAGAAGCTTGATGTAGGATGTATGGTTGATGTTGTGTTTATGGGTCTTCAAAAGGCACTGCTGGGTGTTCCACATTACTAAATTCTTTACCAGCATCCAAACACATGAAATTAAGGGACACTGAGAATGAATGTGAAACTGGCTAAGGGACAGAAAGCAGATGGTACTGGTGAACTCTTTTCAGATTGATATTTAATATATATTCATATTAGTGATCTGGATTTGGGTATACAGACTGTAGGAGGATAAACATCCAAACAAAAGAATGATGAAATTTTAGAACAAGGGAAGCTGTGGACAATGTAGAGTAAACCAATGTTTGGAAAAATCTAAGAAAAGTTGCAGAAGGTAGTGAGTGATACAGCCATTGAAGGAACAAAATACAAGGTTCAAATTTTGAAATTTTGCTAAAGTATGATCTGGCAATGCTAGGGGCGAAGGCAATACTTTGAGAGATAAATTACTTGTTGCTTACTTCCAGCTGAGTTGGAGTTGGCGCAGGCGCAAGATAGGGCTCAGAATGCCCGTTTAAACCTAAGGTCAGAGACAAAAATGTGGATCATGGTTTCAACAACAGCAGGAATAACATGGGAGCAAAGCTGCAGAGGTAGAAGTACTCTGACTTGGTTGCGAATTAAGTGGGATTTCTAATCCATGTGAAGTAGAATAGAACACCAATGTTATACAGTTTGGTTCAACTTCAGATAGCAATTGGGAAAGGGATTGGGATCGGGATCAGGATCTATAAAGAAGGCTGGATTTTCAAGATGGGGACAAGATACAAGAATTGGGCCCGCTTCTGCGTTCTGAACTTATCCCTGGGTGGAAAGGGTCACTAACCTGGGATTTTCATGGAGTGGGCCCCCTTAATTAGCATGGAGACAGAAGGGGGAAAGGTGTGTGTGTGCTTGCATGTGTGTGTGTATGGACGAATCCCTTCACAGGGAGACTTTCTGTTGCACCTGGATTTAGACAAGGAGGGCCTCAATGCCTGCCAGGAATGCTGGCCTCTGCTGTGTGTCCACATCTAAGCAATTAAACTGTAAACTTCCAACCCCTTTCCTTACGGAACTGCAGGTTAACTGGAAAATCGCAGTTGGCCACCTTTCCAGTGTGCTTAACAAGAACCTTAGTAAGACTAATTGTTTGCCTATCTCATGGGGCACTGGTAGCCCTTCTGGCTCTGAATCGGCTTTCACCAAAATAGTCAGTACTAGGAATGCTGTCAGGAAATTGGCACCCTTAGTTAATGCTGCTAGTTATGGGGCCCAACCATCTCCACTTCCAGCTCACAGTTTCTGACAAAGACAATACATGAATGTTTTGAAAGCCAATGATATGATGAAAGCCAAAGGTGATTCCTCTACACCAAAATAAAAAGGCTTCAAATACTTGATAGCTCCCTCACACTCACTTGTGGTCAAATTTGCAAATAAATATACTGACATTCTCTACCTGTATAATCCCACCCAATCTCCTTTTTGCACAGAGGTCAGTTGTGGTCCAGCATATTCCAGTGTCTTCATAAATTCTTCTTTGATAAATGGGTGGATCTGTGGTGGGTTCTGTCAGAAGAAGGTAATAAGAATGAAGGAATCATCTTTCCATTATGCATGCAAAAGTCTTCTGAATTCTTGGCAGAATCTTATTATTTGTTCCCAAATCACAAGTGCAGTCTCCCAATGGGAGCCGCTCTATGATGTTTCATCATACATTCCTCCACCAGAGAACATGAAGCTTTCAACGTTCATCTCAATCCACTAACTGAAGAACACCAGATGCAATCGCACATCGAAAGACAACTGAATGAATGAATACCCATCTCTCACATGCAGGCTGCATCAACAGTGGCATTTTTTAACATTGCATTAGGCAGAGTGTGGCCAAGCATCTGGAGAAATAAGAGTTGACCAGTAACAACCAGAATACATTGTAAAAAGGGTCAGTCATGCCGAACAAGCCATATTAAATATTTTGAGGATAGCTAACACAGATATGGGAGTATGTACTTGTATGGATTTCCCAAAAGGATTTAATTAAGTTTGACATAGAAGATTGTTAACAGTAGGGACGTGCATTAAACATTGGATTTTTCCAATGATACTTCTATCTGAATAACAAAACAAAGCAATCAGGGTGCATTGGAGAGACAGAGTGCAAAAGAGGGGACACTGAGGGACAGACAGAGGTTAGGTTTGGATAGGGCAAGTGGGATGGAGAAGAGAGTACATGAACAAGCAAGAGTGACACAGACTGCATGGAGGAGGGGGGCGAGGGGGGGTGGGGAGAGAACACATGCGAGGGGAGCCATGGGACAAGGTTGGTGGGGGGGGGGGGGGGGGGAGAAAAAGAGAGAGAGATATCATGGCAAATCTGCTTGCATTTCCAATTCCACATTCCTATCTACCTCCAATAACCTTGGATTCCACCATCTAATGAGAAATTGATCTTCCTCTGTCTTAAAAGATATTCAATGACTCCATCTCCATCTCCTTCTAAGATAATGCCCCAAAGTCATACAACCCCTCAAAAAAAAAAGGAGGAAAAAAAAAATCCTTACTTCTGTTCTGAAGAAGGATAACCCCTAATTTTAAAACAGTGTCCTTTGGTTCTGGACTGACCCACATGAGGAAGCATCCTTTCCAGTTCAGCCAAACCAAGTGACCGTCCACTCTTTTAAACTCCAGTAGAAACAAGCCCAAATTGTCCAACCTATCTTCATAGCACATCCTGTCCAT